GAGGTCAAATATTAAGTTTGTGTTTAAAAGCACTTGAAAGAGTAATACATTCAGCTTCTGCTGATAATATGGCAACCACTTTTTGTTTTGACTCCCTTCCTAGGGGACTTTTATTTACTTGTGCAATAATTGCTGTTCTAGATCTTTTGTCTATTTCCATTGTATAGCTAGCATCAGAGAAACCTTGAACTTTAGAATTGTTACTCTTAGTAGCTTTTAATTGAAAGTCCTTAATTCCTTTTAAAAATCTTAAATCCATTTTTGCAGCATAAGTGTTAAGAGTACTCAATCCTTTTCTCTATTACAAATGTTACTACTAAAATATTCTCTATTTGATTTAGTACTTAAACACATTTTATCCCTCTAAAAGGTAACAACAAAACTGTAATCAAAATGCAGAAAATAAAAATTATGAATATAAGAAAGAGCAGCCCCTCAAAGCTAATTTTGAACTCACAGTACTGACATTTAAATTCTCTATCTGCGTCTTCAAAACATGAGTTCACCTACTCTAATAGTACCCACTTACTAAGATGAGTAACCAACCCCGCAAGAACAAGTCACAAAATTCTTTTGGAAACGGATAGTAAATCCAAAACAACTTACTACAAACTAATAACGCGATAATGAGAACGACTAAACTTATTCCACCAAAATATGGAGAAATTTTTTAATAAACAGCTAACATTAGTGTAACTACACAAAGCAACTTATCTATAAAAGAGTTTAACTCACAGAGTGAATTCTTTTTTTTCTAAATTAGCCCCCGACACTTAGGCTCCAGATTAACAAAGCTAACATTTAGGGAGGTTACATAACAAACGAGCAAAAAGTTTGAAAAACTACTACAACCCCCTATGAAAACAGAACATGGGCATTTGAAACCACGGTTCCTTTAATAAGGAAATGACTATTTCCCTTAATATTTTTGTTACGGTTAGTCTACGAAATACAAAACGATAAACAAAATAATAATTAAAAAGAAGCATTTTAGAAAATAATAATTTTTAAGCTAACAAAACGGAAATACTCCTAATACCAACAGCACATAACTACTCAACCTACAATAAAGCTATAAAATCAGAACATAGAGAACATTACAAAAAAGCAGCCGCGAACGAGCTGGAATCACTAATAATGCAAGATGGGCTTGAAAATAGTTGACATTAATACGATACATAATAGAAAATCTTAATGACCACAGAGAGATAACACTAAAACTAACAACCATTTTAAAGCTAAACCCACAGTTTTATGGATTCCACTATTAATTAACTTTATCTCCTCTCTTCCCTGTTCCCTCAAAGTCGTCTTTACGATTACCTCTTGCAATTTAAAAAGTCAACATATGTCAGCAACACTGCTGATATAACGAATTCCTTTTTACGTAAGAAGCTACAAAAACCGGTTTATGTAAGTACATACCACTAAGTATGTACCCTAATCTAGGTCAATGTAGGCTTGTCATAAAGAGAATTTTATTAAAATCACTATTACAAAAACATGAAGTGCATCTTAAAAGTTATTATCGCTCTTTACGACCTAAATTAATTTGCAAGACTCTTTTGCAAGGACTAATATTGTAGGCTGTAAAAAAACATGACTACCTTCAAGGCAAAAACTGATGGTGTGTATATTATACTTTAATAATTTTGACATTTTTTTTTACGTTAGTGAATGTATTATAATTGGAGACCCGAACATTGATAAAAACTCTTAAAAAGAAATGAAAATTAAAAAATACACTAAGTTTAACAAAATCCTTGGAACTGACATAAAAATCCATAATAACCTTAGATTCATTTCTACAGAGATATCCCCTAACGCTAGAGACTTGACTGAGAACGTTAAATAACCTTTATTAGACAGAAGATTATCCTTTATAAAACACAAGAAGTTTAGAGATAACGCAATACCACTTAAATACTACTGTTACACTTGTGGGCAGACAATAACGAATACAGAACCCCTTGAGCCACACTTTTTAACGACTAATAAATCCTTGTGTCACCAGGAAGGTGACCCTTCGTTTAGGAACGCATATCTCGAAGGACGCGCGAAATTGTTCGAGTATGCAACTTGCTAGTATTTCGGTGGCTAAGAGTTTAATACACAAATTCGGGATTAAATGGTCACTTATTAGTGCACACTTGAAAAGTTTCGACTACCTTATCAAGTAATGCGGAATTTAAAATAGAAGAGAGCTAAAAAACTTATGCGTTCCGTAAAAATGTATAGGACTGCTAAGGTCTTTCCTACAGCCGTAGTGCAGGCATTTCAAAGGTGGGGCCCTCTTAAAGATGGCAATGGCCAGCATACCTTACTGCGAGCTTTATTCGTTGATGCCCACACTACGGCTTGCGTATAGCTCCTGGAAGTCCTAAAAAAAAAATAGTCTGTATTGTTAAATATTCACGACTTAGTAGTGATACAATAAAAAATGGGTTATCTATAATATAATATATGAACAAGCAAAGCACTTTCAATAAGTGTCTGTGCTGTATATACTAAGACACTGCATTCGCACAAGTTATCGAAATAAATACATTCTAATCCTTACTTAATTTTAAAAAATGTTAACCTTAGCTCTCTCTTCCTACATGTATTTTTAAAATTAAACACTGTAACTCCTATAACTAAAACGTTGTATTCGGAGAGAAAAATGTTTAGTTAAGATGTTTTACACCGGCATATGAGAACAGTTTAACTAACCGAAAGGCGTCACCTTCCAAAGTATTAATAACTATATTGGGTCTTCATAAGATTTTTTAAACGAATACTCGTAGTTAAAAAGTGTTTTAAATTTTTTAAATAATAAAAGTATTGATAGAGATAAGAACATGAATAACAAAAAAATAATAGTCACCAACTAGCAACCAAGTTTCCCTTAAAGAAAATTTTTAGATAATAAATAATGATAAAAACCCAAGACAATGTTAGTTTGATAAACTAGGAATTGCTCATATCAAGCTTATTACCAACACTATGAAGAGACTTTTCTGTTTCTTTTAATTTCTTTCACTTTTGTGACGAATAATGAATATTATGAAAATTTACTAAACAAGAGTAAATCAGCGATTTTGGGGCCTCTTTATATTTTAGGATTCTGATTCGAAACTGCTATAGAATCCATGTTGTCACATAACATAGAACTTAAACTTTCAGGTTTAAACGCGACTAAATAAAATATTTCTTACAATTTCTGCGATTAATTCGTTTAAAGGGGTTCGAAGGTTTACTGAATGATAGGGTAGCTCCACAATAGATTTTTATTGTTTTTTTTCCAATTATTATAAAATTTTAAATAAGTAATTTATCATTTTTAAATAAGCTACAAACGTTTCCTTTAATAACAATCGTACAGTGGCAACGATATATATTTTAAAGATAACAAACACAAAACTATGGAGGGCCATAAAGATGGAAAACTCTGAATAAATGCTAAACTTCCTTAGGAATAAATAATTATATGATATAAAGCTAAACAAATATAGAAGTTTCCCAAAAAAAAAAAAAATCTTGTGCAAGGCCACCCTGTCTTAATACTTTGTTAATCTCTCATGTAGCGCGGCTAGTTATCCCTCTATTTCCCTAACAAAGGCGCTAATGCTCTTAGTTTGACCCACTTTCCTTCTAAAACAATATTAAATTTTTTTAAAGAATATATTTCATTTACATTATCCTAAAAAAGATTTTTATATACTTAAAATCTTAACTCTTGTAGCTAAGAACTTAATGAAATGCTAAATATCGGTTTGCCGTAGTTTGTTCTAGCAATCAAAATCGTAGTATGGATGCGCACAGTACTTTAAGGTTCCCTAATTGTAAATTTAGTTGTTTGCTTAAAAGAAAATTATTTTAGTTTAACTTTTAAAATTTTATATTCTTTAGGAAGCACGGCTACAACGTAGAATCTTTTGGATCAGGTATATCCTCCCTTTACTTTAGTTTTTCTATTACTACTGTGCACAATAATAAAAATATACTACGAACAAATAATTTAATTTTTTAAATATATAATCTTTTGTTTAAGATGTAAAGAATTTAATTTATTTTAAGGTGTTTGCGTTAAACTTCCTGGAAAAAGTATTGATAAACCGGTGATATATGAGTTTGGGACGCCTTACAGCTTAATGTATAACGAATTGGTAAATACTGATAAAAATTTGTAAGCTTCTTACTAATAAAAAAATAATCTTTCCAGTTTTTATATTAATTTTCTTTTTAGATATCAAACCAACGGCGTTCTTAATATGTTAGAAAGGAATATGAAAATTAAAGATCATCCCGAACGATTCCAGACCACAAATTTACAATTTGACGTGATTATTACTTGTGAAGAACGCGTTTTTGACCAAGTTATACAAGGTAGGAAAAAAAAATTTAAAAAATAGTAATAGAAATTTTTTTTTGCAGCGATTGACGAATGGCAAACGGATCATTTAGAAATTGTTCACATTGTTAATGTGGATATCAAAGATAATTTTCACGACGCTTTTAAGGGAAGCCAACACATTCTTGAGTTATGCCAGATGGTTTAATTTTTTTTTTCTAAAACATCACAAATTGCAGACAATTAAATTTTCATTTACAAAAAATAATATTTTTTCAAAGAGATTTCTTTTTAAAATTTTATTTGGAATTTATTTTTTTTGAAAAGTTCTTTTTTAGTTTACATTTGTTTTAGATTTTTAAAGATTTTATTTTATTACTTTTTAAATTTTTTTTTTCATGTAGATTGAAAAGACGGACGATTTAGATGGGAATATGGAAAGTATTTTAAAAAAGTTATAAAAAAACAATTCTAACTTTTCATCTGATTTAAATTTTTTTTTTTTCCTACAGATTCGCTCAAACAAGGAAAAGGAAGATCCTTCACTCTGTAGCTTTTTATTGATCTGATTTCTTATTTTACTTTGATTATACGATTACTTTATAATTTTATGACTGTCTTGAAGGATTTTTTAAAATATAATTAAAAATTCTACAGACCGAAATCATTTCCTAAAATTTTAAAAATTTTTGTTATAATTTAGTCAAATTTAAAAAAAAGTATAATTGCAGTGTTATTAATTATAAAAAAATCTGTACTGCATATTTTTCTAGATTCTTAAAACATATTAGCTGTGTGTTTTTAAACTTATTCGAAAATTAAGCAAATTTTATGTAACTTGATATAGGCATGTAGATACAAGTACTGTTACTGTACAGTGCTATTTACTAGTTACGTATATATAGGCCCGCGATACTCGATCTAGTCCTATTTAACTACTTTGCTTTGAGTAGGACTGTCAATAGGAGTGAGATTGTAGCACCTGAAAAGTGAGACACAGCCTCGAGAGAAGAATGCAAAGTTTCTTTCTCATACGAGGTTTTCAGTTGCTTAAATGTGCAAAATCACCTCAACTTTTAGATAAATAGCGTTATTACCCTTAAAATTGAGTAGAAGATTTGCGCTTGACACAATATTGGACATATAACCCCTTTACTTACTTATGACGATAGTTGTCGAAGAATCAATAGAATGGATTTAACGACTTTAAGCACCTAATCTTTAAGATGCCAAAAGCTATCATTATTAGCACCAACCTACGCAGCTGCCAGTGTGTTTAACTATTTAACCACTAAAGTCTTATCCTGCTGCAATGACAGTCGAGTATCGGGTGCACCACAAATTTCTACACGAATAAAAAGGTATCCGCGCATGAGAAACCAATTCTTGCTTGACCGCTTTACGATACTGTCAAGCGGCAAAAAGCTACCGTTTTGAATCTGCTACAAAAAGTATATAAAAATATTTGGATTATAAATTTATAATATGTTTAAATACAGTAATTAATAAAAATCTATTTTTTTAAAAAAATTAAATTAATAATTAATAACTAATAACAGTACTTTTACAATTAAGAATTATAATAATATTTCAGTTCTAATTTATATTTAGTAGTTAAATAATTAGAAAAGTTTAATTAATTTTTTAACAAAGTTATTTTAAAAATTAATTAATTTTGAAAATTAAATTATTTATAAATTAAGTTTAGTAAATCAAATTGTAATAAATTTTTATTATTAAAGTAATTATAAATATTTAAACTAAGATATTAGTAAAAATATTTATAAGCAGAAGGAAATTAAAATTTAGCACTAATAAATTATAGCAAATTTCAAACTTTGGATTTAAACTCAATTATCTAAGATTTTTATAAATTTTACTTCAAGAAAAAATTATAAAAGTTATCTAAAACTGCTTTGTTTTTTCTTAGGTGCGTAGTAAACCTTGAGCAGTAAATTTAATTCCACATTGACTCAGCACAATAATAATAATAATAATATACGTCGATTATAAAAGTTATATAATGGTTTCCTTATAGTAAATGTTAAAATTTTAAATGCAAGTTCATAATTGTTTAGAATTATTTCAGCAGGGAATTATTAAAGTCATTGAATTTGGTTAGTAACAATAAAGTTTAAGATTTTAATTTTAAGTTCACATTTATATATAATTACTTCAACAATGAATTATAAAAGTTATTTTATTCTATTTGTTATAATAAAGTTTATGATTTCAATTTTAAGTCCTTAACTTAAAATTCAAAAGTTTTTTATATATTCAGTAAATTTGTTCCCTTATAATATAAAGTTTCAGATTTTATTTTTAAGTCTACCTTAAGAATAAGTCCAACAGTAAATTATAAAAGTCAACGAATTTGATCTTAATAGGCAAGATTTGGATTTTAAAAAATGAGTCCACAACATTTAGAATTTCTTCTACGGTGAATTATGAGAGTCATTGTTTTTTTTTAAGATTATGTAAAGTTCATGCTATATTTTGTTTCTACTATTACTTAATGTTTGATTTATTTATTACATTCGTAGCAAAGCTTGAGCATTAATTTTAATTCATTTACTTAGCCTTAAAAAAATTATACACGTCAATCATAAAAGTTATTTAATTTGTTTCATTCTAGTAAAGTTTTAGTGTGCAATTTTAAGTTCACAAGTAATTTAAAATTTTTTCAACAGTGATTTATAAAAGTCTAAGTTTTTTTTAAGTTTTATGCAAAGTCCTTGCCTTATTTTAATTCCACTATTATATGGTTTGTTTGACTTTTTTCTTAAGTGCGTAGCAAAGTTTTGGCTTTAATTTTTTTTCAATTCCTTAGCCTTATAAAAATTATGTACGTCGATTATAAAAGTTATTTGATGTGATTCTTTATTTTAACAATTTAATATATGTCCACTATTATATGTAATTACTTGAACAGTAAGTTATAAAAGTCGTTGAAGTTTTCTTAAGTTCACGTAAAGTAGTTCATTATTTTAATTTACTATTATTTAGCTTTTTAAGGTTATAATCAATTTTTTCTTTTATAGCAGTGTTCAAGGTTAGCTTAAATCCCACATTAATTTAGCATAATTTTTTTCCGTCGTTAGTGAATTATATAAAAGTCCTTTGAGTTGAACAAAGATTAGCCATTGCTGACTTTATAATAATCTTAAATTTATGTTACTAAAAGGGATTTTCAGCGAAGTTGCCGTCAACTGTAAAGGTTTTGTTGATTTTTTATAGTATAAAGAGATTATTTTTTAGAGCAAAGGGATAATTTTTAATATACACTTACCTTTGATAGCCCACTTACGCCTCAGGCCTCTTGATATTCAGCAGAGCTTTAAAGTTTAGGCAGAAAAAAATTATATTTTTCCAAGAAAAGGTCCTTCAGTATTGCTTTGTAAATTGGCGTTAATTTAAGCAAGTTTGGATTTCAACTGATTATTTTGCTTGTAATCGTATTTACAAATTACTTTTATACTATTGTTTTTTGAGATGTGTTAAGTTTTGCAAAAGAATAGTTTGTTCTGTTTCTCTCAAAAAACTGTGAGTGATTTAAATTTTACTGTTCTGATATATTATATTTATTTAAAAAGCTGAGTCTTCCTACAAACTTCGTGCTTACCTCGATCTTTTTATTTTCAACTAACAACTTAAGCTCGAATTGCACGGCAGTGCTCTTCTTTAATATGCAGTTTATAAAAGTAAGGCTAAAGTTTTTTTTTAAAGTTTTAAGGTTCGCCGTTAAAGCAAGTAAAAACATTCGAAAGAACTGATATATAACGAAATTTAATTTTTTCACACGGATAATTCAATTTTTTTAATATCTTTTTTTTGGATTCACCCGCGTAGTTTATAAAAATTAACTAAAATGCATATAACGTACTCCAGCTCTCTAAAGCGAACAAAATTCTTAATTTTATACCAAAAAAAATTGACCTATTTTTTTTAATTTTTTTTTTTTAGAATCAAATTTCTCAGCATATTACCCTTTTTTTAAAAAACTTATTTACTAAATCCTCTACATTCACGCTATTTAAAACTAATTTCGCTATTTTCGATACAATTGTTTAACTCTACTTACCTTTTTACTAAAAAAGAATGAAAAGCGACTGTTCTTTTTTCTGGTTTACTTATTATATTTGCAATGCGTATCAACTGCGAGCCTGTTTCTTTTCTTATACTTAATTCTTAAAGTGCGCTACTATAAAAGAGCAACTAAGTTCAGAATGTTTTCCAATCTCCAACTTTCAGGCAGAATGTGCGGCACACTTGAAAGTAGAAAAACGTATAAGCCCTTTAAATTTAGATTTTTAATAAATTTCAAGCCATACTTTCCACTACGTGCGTATAAAACAAGTTCTAACCGTTCTAATAAATATTATAAGGTATAAATAAAAATGGTTTAGAATTGTGTTCAAAAAAAAAAATTAAATTTTTATTTTTTAAATAATATTACGATTTACAAAACATAATGATATAAAAAGTCCTTCAATAACTAAACGACGTTATTCAGCACAATCTCCTCCCTATTTTCCTTAACTTTTTCATTTTTGCCTTGCAAGCTGCTTTTTTTTTTAATTTCAATTAAATTTATATGTCTGCTTTAAATTTATGTTAACGGAACAATAAAATATTTTTTGTCTCTAAAAAAGAATTATAAAAAAAATAAAGTAAATGCGAAACTACAAATTTGCGTTGAAGGGAAGTTGCGTGCTAACAGCGCTTATATTTAACGAAATCTATAAAAATTCATTAAAAAAAAGGACTAGAACGAAATATTTGATTGGACAGTTTGCATGTGGTAGTCGTCGGCCATGGCGGATATCTTTAGAACTGAGTGGAGAGGGACTTCCATAAAAGGCAATTCTTCGGTCGACTTTCCGAGAAAGTAGGCGAGTATACACCGGAGGACGGCTTGATGCCCAATGACTGCGCATGTTTAAAAGTTAAAAAATAGTGAGTGGGATTGAAAAATATAATTGGCTACTTAAAACATTGTTGGCTCTTTCAAGCTCCAGCATGATTGGCTCCAAGCGGACAACGACGTCATAATAAGACTGGAAAATAAGAATAATAGCAGTAAAAGTAAGGTTCAATATTCACTGAAAAAATTGCACTAATAATAAAATGAATAATTTTTTTTAATATTAAAGAAGCTTTTCACTCGGTCAAGCCCTACCACACGAGTCGTTGCAATAATAAATACAAATGCTACTATCCGGCTTCGAGCAGCCCGGCTAACTGTTTAGGGAGACGCAAAGGATTTATTTATATATAAAAATAATAAATTTTCCTTAAAAAAGATATAACAATAATTAACTTCTGCCCCAAATTTTAGTGAAAAACGAGTTCTATAATATTTATAAAAATTCATTAAAAAACATCTTTTAGCTGTACTACGTACTAACTGCAGTACGCTTTAGAAACTGAATAAACCAATCAAAACCAACCTCTCCACGTGGGTAGCGGTAGTTGTACTTGTCCTTCTCACGTGATCTGAACTCTTCGGGGTATAACTCCGATATCTGATACAAATAATTATTTCGATAACAAAACCCTGCAATTTGTTTATAAAACGGGCCTTTTTTGAAATAAAAGCGCCCCATTTTGCGTCGCTAATAAACTTTATTACATCCTTTAGACCGTTATTTGCAAGGAATAAAAAAAATAAAAAAGCCAATATTATTTTGAGTTTAATATTGGGATGAGTAGGAAAAAGTATATAAAAAGTTTCGGCTATAAATAAATAATACCAATAGCTGCTTTCTAAATTTTTTTTAATGAAAACATTTTTATAAAAATAAATAAACTTTAAAGAACTTTAGACTTCGCCCGAACAATTAAAATACAAAAAAAAATTGAAAAATAAAGTTTCCTATAAAAAAAATTTATAAAATCATTATTTAACTATAAAATAAATATAACAAAAATGAAAAAGTTACTAACAATTGTACAATAAAATAGGTCGATCGAAAAAAACTTTTTATATACATTACTCTTTTATTATAGTTTTGCTCATCGATATAAAAATTTATAAAGTTTGTTTTTATAAATTTTTAATATTTTTTATTTGTAGAAATACGAAATATAATAGTTATAAAAAAATTTTGACAAAATTTTTTATATATATTTTATCTAAATAACAATAATATTTTTTATTATTTTTGTTTTTCTTTTAAAAAATTATAATATATTTATTCATTACTTAAACACTTCTTTTCTATATGTTTTAAATAAACTTTTACAACAGTAATAATAAGAAAATAACTCGAAAAAAGTAAAAAGAATATTTTTACATATTTTTTTAAGCTGAAAGTAACAATAATACTTTTATAAAAAAAAAATACAAGTAATAACAATAATACTTTTTATATTAATTACAATATAAAAATATAAGTTATAATAATACTTTTATATTATTATTATAAACCTGCTGATAAGTCATCCCTTCGCATATTCCAGCTTTAATTTCTTCTAAACATCTTTTTAATAATAAGAATAACCAATAGTAAGTGATACAATAGATAATAATTATAATAAAATTAGTAGTAATAATATAATAAATAATAAGTAATAGTTATGATCATAAAAAAATTAATAATAGTAATTAAAATAATAATTTATAATAACTATAATATAATAAATAATAAGTAATAGTAGTAATAATATAATAAATTTCAATAAGTAATAATAATAATATAATAAATAATACTAATAATAAAGTAATAAAGAAAAAGTAATAATTATAACATAATAATGATTAAAAAAAATAATAAATTATAATAATGAGAACTTCCAGATTTTAGCTTTTTCTTCGAAAAGTTGTGCTGTTTGTCTCGCGCGTTTCAAAGGGGACGTCCACACCTAAAAAAATTCTTTATTATAAACGTTTTATTATTCATACTTATAAAAAATATATAAAAAATATATTATTAATAATAATATTACAAAACAATAAATAAAAATAATATTTTATAAATACTTTTAAATAAAATAAAAATTTATTTTACTTTTTTTATATTCATACTAATAAATAATATTTAAAAATATAGTAATAATATAAAATTATAAAATAGTTTAACTATTTTATATTACAAATAAAAATAAAACGATAATATCATAAAAATATAATTAAAAGTAAACAAATAATTTATTATTAAAGTGATAAAATAAAATAAATTGTAATGAATAACGTTATTGCCGCTCTCTTATATATAAATTATATATAATTAATAAATAATTTTCATATAACTTAAAAAATATAAAAAATATGTAATATAAAAATATAATAATAATATTTATATTTTTTTGTTAAATTAAGTAAAAAAAAAATAAATAATATAGAAAACGGAATCTAAAAATATTAATAAATTTGATAAAAAAATAAACAAAATACAAATAAATATAATAATAATAATTTGACTTTTTATTAATAAATATAATAAAAGTAAATAAAAAATTATTTTAAGAAAAATTTATTGCAATAAATTTATTATAATATAAAATATAAACCAGGCTAAAAAAAATTTAAATTGATATTTAAAAATAATAAAAAGTAAAGATACGTATACAATCAAAAACAACACCTTCAGTAATTAAAAAAAATTAATAAATCTAGAAAAAATATTAATAATAAGAAAAATAAGCGAATAAAAAAATTATGACAACTTAATATAAAAAATAAAAAAAAAATAGCGACTCTTGAGAAATGCTAAAATGCTTCGCGTATTAATAATTATTATTATAAAGTAAAAAGTTTATAAAGTTTTAATTAAAAATTAAAATTTCGGGAGGACGAAGTAAAAGTGAAGGCATTATTATATTATTACAAAAACTTTACTACTATAAAAAATGTTAAAATATTATTGTAAAATATTTTTTATAATAAAATTTGAAATTTTCTGAAAGTTAATAAAAGTTGTAAATATCAGATAGAAAATCTCTTAAAAAGACGAAAAAACTATCGAAATATGCATTATAGTTACTTTATTTACTTTTTTATAATAATAATTATATCTACTTTTTTTATTTTTTTTTTCTATAATAATTATTATTTTTTACTTTTTTATAACAATAATAATTATTATATTTACTTTTTTTATTATTTTTTATATCTATAATAAAAGTTATATAATAAAAACTTGAAGATTTTCAATTTTGACTCCCGTGAAGTACTCGTGAAGCTTCGAGGCGTACTCAACGCCTCTCAAACTCAAATCAGAATCACCTCCTAAAATTCCTTGAAGATTGTATTCACTTTCGCCGTGCTAAAAAAAAATTATAATGATATTTTAAAAAAAATATAAAAGAATATTAAAAGTTCTAGAAAATAAAAAAAATTTAAAGAATAAATATTTATTATAAAAATAAACTAATATTGAATAACAAAATATTAAAAAAAAAAAAGTAAATTATATTCAATTAACAATTAATATTTATGCAGACATCGCATTTGATTGGTTTATTATAAAGTAAATTATTACGCTTGAAAATTATCTTTTCATTTCCTTCATATTCATTTCTATTAAATTTTATTTTTCTTTAATTTAAACTTTTTTTTAAATTAATTATAAAATAAACAAAAAATTAATATAAAAATAAAAGAAGTTGATTATAAAAATTTAGTGTATAGTAAAAAAAATGCAAAAATATTATAAATTTATATTTTTCAGCTTATAATTTTTATATAAATAGTAAAAGAAAATAATTATTACAAAAAGTTTACGAAAATATAAAAAAAATGAAAACTAAAAAGTACTTCAAAAATATTATAAAAGTAAGGCTGTTATATGCGGGGCGAGAAATTTAAAGTTTCGGCAACAATTAATATAAAATTGAATATTCTCGAACAAAAAATAAAAACATAATAATAATAAAGATAAATACTACAACAATACTTTAAATAACTAAAAATAAAAGTAATAATATTAATAAATAATAATATTATAATAATAATAACTGCGAATCATAACAAATAATAATAAGAAAATTAATAAATTATATATTCGTTTCTTTTATGTTATTAATACTTCCTTTTAGCTTTTAACTTTTATTATTAATAACTATTAATAGTTTCACTTATATATATTATTGACTTTTATTATTATTGACATAAATTTATTAAAACTTTTCATGATAAAAATGATTTACCTATTGATATCGAAACAAACGCGCGAGGAAAAATAAGTTGAAAAAAGTTTATATAAAAGTTTATTATAAAAAAAAAATTTTAAAATTTATAAACTTACTTATTTTAGTTTTTAAATTTAATTAAAATTTTTTGAAAGTTTTAAAAATTAATCACAATATAAAATATTTAAAAAAAATTTATTAGAAAAAGTTGTAGCAATTTTAGAGTTTAAAAAAAAATAATTAAAAAATGCTTCGATAATTATTAACAACAAAACCAAAAAAATGAATTTAGAAATTAATAAGAAAACAAATTTAAGTAAAGAAAAATCTCAACACTATTCAATAAACAATCTTCTAAATTTTCTCATAAAAGTTTATAAAAGTTTATAATTCAATTTAAAAATAATTTATACAATTTAAAAAAAATTAAAAAACAGGTTATAATAAAATTAATATTTATATAAAAACGCTGCGAAAAATAAATTTTAGTAGAAGAAATAAAATAAATTTCTGCAAGAATTTATATTATAACAGAAATCAAAACAAATTATAGCTTTCAAAGAATTTGTGAAAATTGATTATTTTATTAGGAATATGGAAACAAAGAAAAAGTACTAAAAAAATCAATTTTAGCATCAACGTGGATAAAACTAAATTTAAATAATGAACTTTATTAAAAAAAAAAAAGTAAAATATAATATTTTTTATATAACAAAGGTTATGCAATAATAAAAAAATAAAGTGACTTGAAAAAAACGAGCGTGAAAATAATAAAAAACTTTGAAGGGAAAAAAAAAGTAGAGAAATAAAATTCATTACTGAAAATTTTAATTATTTCAAGTGCGACAACAAAAATTTTAACAATTTATTATAATTTCAATTATATAAATTTACTTAAAGAAAAAAACATAAATCAGCAATAAATTTATTTAAAAAAGCGAGAAAAAAATAAAAAAAATTAGAAATTTAAAAATTATTCTAACAAAATTAATATTAAAAATGTCCATTTTTAATATAAATTTTCAAATCATAACAAATTTTTAAAGTGTCTATTAAATCAAAAAAAAAAACCAGACTAAAGCCCAAAATGATATATATATAAAAAAATAGAAACTAGCAATAAAATTTATATAAACGCTGGAAAGAAAATTAAAAATTTGAAGCAAAATTTAAAAATAAATTTACAAAAAATTATTAAGGAATTAACAGTTTTGAAATTTCAATTTTCTTACTTTAAAAATTAAAAATAAAATTAAGATAAGTTATTTTTATTGCAAATTTCTATTTATTACAAAATTAAAAAAGCAGAATTTCATATAAGAAAAGAATACTCGAGTGAAGCTCAGAACGATAAAAAAGTAGTCTACTTAAAAAAATTAAATTAGCAATGATTTTTTTATAAATGCAGCAAAATAAAAATAAAATTATCAATAATTTAAAATTATAAAAAAATTGGATGGAAAAATTCCAAAAAAAAAGGTTTAGAGCTAAAAAAAAAAAAATTTAAATTCAAAATTATAAAGTTTAATATAAAATTTAAAAGTAAATTAAACTGAAAAATGATAAGTAAAAAAAATTTTAACAAACGCGAGAAAAGTAGAGAGTCCTCGAGTGAAACCGGGCATTAATCAAAAAATAAACAATTAGAGCACTGATGTGACCTTCGACGTTACGCGTGACAATTGACTTATTCACTTTTTATAAAAAAATTAAAAATTAATTAATTTCTAATTTCAAAAATATGGATTGCAAAATCGATAGTTTCCCAATTTTTTATAAAAAAAATTATTATAAAGTAATCAAAAAAAAATTTAAAAAAAATTGTTAAGGTGTATTAAAATTATTATAGCTTTTTTTATAAAAATTAAAAAATTTATAAAAAGTTTACGTAAACAATATATAATAAAAAATTACAAATTAAAAAAATTTTATTTTTAATAAAAGTTATAACATGAATTAAAAAAAATTAAATCAAATCTTTTCTAATCTAAATTTTAAATTAGTATTTCTCTTGTCGAGTACTTTTTCTTTGAAGTATATAATACAATGCTATTCAGTCCATTTTTAAGTAACAAATTTGCTTGAGTTTATAAAAAAATATATAAAACTTTATATTTACATATAAATTACACTTTATTTTTTTTTATAACGAATACTTTTTTTTATTTAGAATATATATGAATCGTAACAAACTTGCTTAAGCTTAAATTAAAAGTTTATAATAAGGCAAATTTAAAATTCTTGAAATCCAAGAAAGGTGTCTTTGTTTATTAGTAACATGAATAAATTTAAAGCGACGATAAACTCTGGAGCAAATTTATTTGGAAGACAAAAACTTATAAACTTCAAAGTATATATAAAAAATCTTTTTAAAATCGTCAATCTAATAAAATTAAATGGAGACCTACTAGTATAGGCTATTAAATTATGTATATAAAGAAATTTTAAAATTGAAAAGGCTCTACAAACTTTGCAAAAATTAAATTTTTTATATATATAAAATAAAAAACAGTTTATAAACTAATAGTTTAAATTAAAATTACAAAGTGTCGTTAAATTTTTTTTTTTAAGTAATTATTTTCTACTATAAAAAAAAGCTTGCCATCGAATAGCTTTAAAAAAGAATAATTGGGATCAAGTAGCTCATCCAGAGATTCATAACGCTGAAAAAAAAATTAATCTCAAAAGAGAAACTTTAAAAAATTTCAAATAAATTATTAACCAGCTGGTATTGTTGAACCCGTCGCTCACAAGCTAAAAAAAAAAATTAATAAATAGTATTTAGATGCTCCATAAATAGAGGAACAAAAAAAATTAAACTTGTAAACATTTAGAAGTTCTAAAAAAAAAATTAGTTATTTTTTTATAAAAAGCCAGAAAGTAAAATATAAAAATAGTAAATACTGATGATACTTTATTATAAAAAAAAATTATTATTACCAAACGTGTTTTCGCCATCAACCAAAATTTGATTAATGTTACAAACACTCTCTATAAATAAAATCTTAGAAAAGTTAGAAACAACTAAAGTAAATTAATTTATAATTAATATAAAGTACAGAACTTCCTGTTTCGGTTTCTAACTTTTTTTTTAATAAAGCCCGCTGATCTCGAAGCAAATTCTCACTATCTAATATGGCTTTAAAAAATACTCGTTAATAAATTATTATGATAAATCTTCTGCTAAAAGGCAGACCCACTTTAGCTTCCAAACTATTTTTTAACCAACATATTAAATCCTTCAAACACTCTGCCATCTAAAAATATATTAAAAAATGGAAAAAAAAAAAAAAAAAAAAAAAAAAGGATTTTATAATTATATACTGATAAAGTATTCCAATCTTTTTCCTCCTGTCCATCCATGCAGGAGGTTTTGGATTCTAAAACTTTTAACTTCTGAAGATATAAATCTCGTTGAAAAAAGTAAATACAGAAGAATGTTTCGGGTTATATAAATAATATTATTAATAGTCTCAACATACCAACCTGGACAGAAAATTTTAGTAAAGCAGCCTTTCCAGTTCAAATAACGACTTAACTTTTTTGCTATACAAGTTTTGCCACTTCCCGGCAGCCCAACTAATACTTTATAGGGTAAATAAAAATAAGAAAAAGGTTTTAATATTTTAAATAAGCTAACTTACTCACAGTCAACTTTTTGCTATCGTTAAACATTGTAACAAGCCTATCAATTAGTAATAATATTATAAATACAGATATAATCTAAAAAAAATGCGTTTTAGCAGACTAACAAGCACTCAGTATTCTTTAATAGCACAAAAGTGGCAGTCGCCTTTAGCAGTTATAAAAGTGAGCGATAGATTTATTCAACGTTGAGTTATTTCTGATTACTTCTTTTATAATTTAAGAAAAAAGTCGTAACTTTTATAACTGTACACTTGTAAGTTCCCCTGACAGCGTATAATAATCAGTTCACACCTTACATATAGCTTTATACCCCAAGTTCACAACCTTTTCAAAAGATCATAGTTCTCTCAAAGTCAACAATTTTTTTTTCCTAAGTTAAATATTTAATTACTTAACGAACTTAATATTACACTAATTTACCAACCTTATAACTGCCGTTTATAAATAGAAGATTTTTAGAGCTAAGCCTGTACAGGAGTGGACGACCGAGAGGTCAAAAGTTTGGCTCGCCATATTTATAACTAAAAGTGGACCCAAAAATGTATCGATCGATATACAGCTTAAACAACTGAGAGTTAAGTTGGAAGATAAGACCATACCGATACTGTCTAAATATGACAATAAATATAAAGTAAAGATAAAGGTATATATGAAAGTTTGTGAAAATTTTTAAGAACTTATTGTTAAAAGAAACGTTCGGCATGAAGTTAGAATTACATTCAGGTTATGGTCGAGAAGCTAAACAGCAAGGGTAGCGTCTAAGGAAAATATTCAACGAGGGTCGATAAAGTTCATGAAAAGGTCTGATACCCTCCAAGACCTTAACGAAATGCGTGATAGAAAGGCATAAGACGCCAAGTGAGATAAACATTAGCTTATGGTTAGAGAAAAACGCGCTTCAGTACCGATCGCTACCAGCAGGAATATTAGTATGGTGGAGGGAACCGCCTTTGGGTTACGTCAGCGGGGCACTAAAGAATTTGAACCCTATTGTATACGGTATATAAAATGTGTACGTTTATGCTATACCAAGACAAGTCCACCGGTTAATTAGCTGATTTCCTTGCGATCTTGGAACAGGTTTAGTATTGTTTGCCATTACTCATTCTACAGTTCTTACTCTAAGCGCTTTCGGTCTCACCTAATTGCTACTATAGAGTAGAATTCTATAGAACTCAGCATTTTACCAAATTTATCATTTAAGGCTACGCATGCTCTCGTAGATCCACGGCAAAGGACAGCTACCGGAACCAATGCTAGTACTCAACGCGAAGTCGAAGTGCAAATTAATTAGCCTGATACTGTGGACTATAAAGCCAACAAGTGAATAAACAAGTTTATTCAGCAATTTAATAGTAGAGTTTGCAAACATGGTGCCTTTTTTGTTCAAAGTTACAGGTAAGATAGAACCCGCCTCAAGACTTTATCCAATCTTAAGTTTTTGCCAAGTTTATAAGAATGGTTTGCAACACGACCGTGACGAAACTTGAGCTTTCCGCAGTACAACGCAACCCTCAAAACAGAGCTGTATGAGGAAGCTACCATAATCACAACTTTTAGGTGAGATTAATCATTACAGTGACCTTGGTGGAGCAGCATTAGCTAATGATCAAAGTAAGATCTTTCAAGCCGTAGAGGGTAAACATGACCCGATACAGACGTTTCTACATTTACGTTGCAATCCACCAACGGAGGGGAACTTTAGAGCACCCTAGGTGGTAACCCACAAGTACCCGCGAGGGCTAACTAAAAGGTAGAACGCGTATTTTGTATATAGGCTTGTCTGTTACAAGCACTTGTACGACATACACCTGGCGGCAAAAAGCAACCGTTCCTTGCAGGAAGAAGGTACAATCTAACGACGAAAGTCTAAAGGTATGACTAACGATTCCAAGGCACAAAACAGCGCCTAGTCTACCCATTAAGTAACCAACCTGCCCAGCCGCCAATATTGGATGTTTAAAGAATAATTGACGCCAACCTAGCTGTGATCGAAGCCAAAATGAAGGATGATTCGCACGTCACGCGCCAAAAAGGTGTGACAAAGGTACTAAAAATACTCGCACAGGACGTGCGAATAAGCATCGAGAAACTATAAAAAACGCATCTCTCTTTATACATTCGCTTTCTTGTGTCTAATTATTATAGTTAGAAGCACTAAATTAAAACGTTTAGGACAAAGTGCCCAAAAAGTGCTAGCTACTGGTAAACCAATAAAAATGAAAGCACAATAATTCATAAACATATTAATTCCTAGTACAAAGTTTGGTTTTATTTTATTAAGGTTAGGGTGCCTTCCGAGATCAAGCTTAGGTTAGTCAAAGTTAGCCAGATAGCACAATCCTTAGCATATCGCCCATGTTACTTTCGAGGAAAGGCCAGCATGTTGCCATTTCATTTTTCGCATAGGTTTGAAGTTTGATTATAAATTGTATAAACTTCGTGTTAAAGTACTTGTTTAATTCATTTTATTTCAATAAGATTTAAGTTAAATAGTAAAACTTTATTTAACGACCAAACTTTCGTCAACAATTGTAAACTTTAGTAAACTTGAGTAAACTTTCGTCTATTTGTGTTTACCTTTGTGTTTACCCTTTTCAACTTGTGTTAACTTTTGTCAACTATATGACAGTCTATTATTTTTTATTTTGTTTAATGATTATTTTGTATTATTTTTATGTCAGCCTTCTTAATTTGGTTATTTATTATCAATTTGTTAATTTGTTGTTAAAATAATTATTAAATTTCTAAAGGCAGCTCTTTCCTTCTAAGGTTTTTAAGGTCTCATTATTATGCCTAACTACCTTTGTTATAAACAATTCGGGCTTCAGTGCATAAACTCTATTATTCTAATCAAATCGGAACTGTTACATTTTCTTTAAACTATAATGTTTCAAAGCTGAGGCTGCTTTAACTTCGTGAAGGTTTAAAAAGTTCATTAAGCTGAAGTAAATTATCATTAAGCCAAACTAAATTGTTAACTTCAGCTAAACTGAGTCTTCTCAACGACTCAGCATTAGGTTGCATGGTCTATTTCACTCCCATAGGGTTCAATTGCACATTTTCCCTTCACAGTACTCTGCTTATTTGTGTTACTTACTGAGTTAGCCTAACCTTTACCAAGGTCAACAGATGTTGACTATAATTCACCTAATGCTCGATAACCAAGATTACTTCATAGTTCAAAAAATCATGACTAGTTTCTACAGGTTAGGATTCTGTTGTTTCACCTTGGAGGATCCATATAATCCTTTTAATTGTACCCTAATGAGCAAGGTATGACTTGAGTTTTTAATTGTTAAGGCCCTACTTGGTAGAACAAAACTAACTAACACTCTAGAAATGCTAATTAGCTGGTTCTACCAAAGTAGAACGGACCGGTAATAGAATACTACCAGCGATAATAGTAGTAATAATTATGGTGATATCGAAGATAAACTCCATTGAAATCTCTGAAGCAAAGGGCTGGAAGCATAGAATTAGGATTTATACGCCTGGTGAGCAAGACTACAGACGTTTAACTCAGAAAACTTTGAGTACTACACTTGTCGCCCTCCTTCTGAAAAAGAAACTTAAGGTTGTTTTCCGCGTTATTTTGGTGAAATGAATATAGAGGAAGTTAAAACAGAACTGGAATTCAAGGCTTCATCTTACTGAAGTTATTAGAATGAGAAATATAATCAAAACAGAATCCTTTTGCCCCTCGTATTAGTAAAAATACCCAAGAACGAAAGTACTATATTTAAAGTCAAAACATTGGTTATATTTCCGTTTCAGTAGAACCTTTAGAAAAATGTAGATATGGAAAATGTTTCCAATGCCTATTATTAGGGCATACCGATAAATTCTGCACTTCTCAATACAAGTGTGTAAACTGTCTAAGTGAACACACTGCAAGTTAAAGAGGTTGTTTGCATTACCCTAAAAATACGCCACTTAGAAGAAAAACTATACTGTTAAGCCTATATCTTAAACTTAGGAAAGCGTGGTATCTTCAATGAAAAGCTACGCTCAAGCGTTAAATAGTAAACATACTCAACCTTCGTTTAGTCTGGAGGAACTTATTGTCAAACGAATAGTCATCTCTTTAACTGTAGCGATAAGTATTCACATATCAAATTCCATTAGTGATTTATTTTAAAACTAAATAATCGCAATGAAACCACCAAGTAAAAGTATCATCTCAGAATATTCTCCTGGAATGCCGATGGCATATGGGATTAAAAAACTGTAGCCAAGGAGTTGACCAAAAGAATGAATATTGACCTCATTTTAATATCAGAATCACATTTGAAAAACTGCAGAGTTTTATATACCCAATTATAATATATATCAACAAGATCGGGAAAACATGGGAGGTGGAGGCACAGTTATACTCGTTAAGAGACATATAAAGCATTCATTTAATTTACCAAAATTTAAAAATCTAGAGGCTACCGGTGTATGCAGCACTTTAAAAAAGCATTGTTTAGCGAATATTATTTACTGTTATAAATCGCCTGGGAAAGGATTATTGAAGGAGGACTTATATAAGTTATTTAACAATACTAACCCAGTCATCGTTTGTGGAGACCTAAATAGCAAGCATTCTTCATGGAACAGCAGGGAGAACTACCCACATGGCAAGATTCTAGCACATTGGGCGGAAAATAATGGAATCTTTGTTTTAGCCCCTTTTAAACCCACACATTGTGCTCAACTAGAGGTTCCGTTGATGTGTTAAACATAGCTTAATTACATAGCTTTATTAAAGGAGATTTCTGTTCCTGTGCACATTGCAAACCTTCATGGATTATCTTTATATCATGACCTGGTGTTATTGCTGGTTGGAGATTTAAGTCGGCCCAATACAGAGAGGGGCCTAGAGTTACCCAATTGGAATCTTTTTAAAAACACATTGTTTGATAACTTATCACTCTATCCGATTCCATCCTGCTCGTCTAAAATTGATACTGTTGTCTCTTCTTTTGAAAACACAATAAACTACTCAGTGAACGCATCACCAACCCAGAAAATTGTAAATAACTTTAATTATATATATCCCTCTCATCTTAAAGAACTTATTAATAAACGTGGAAGATTAAAAAGAATATTTATGAAAGGACGAACCCCATGTGACAAGTTTGCCTTCGATAAAATAAGTAAAGCGGTTAAACGCGAATTAAATGCTTTTTATAACAACCTTTGGGATATGAAGCTATGATCTTAAATTCGTCCGATAATTCTATATGGAATATGACAAAATCTTTCAAAACTCAAACTAGAATGATTAATATACAACTATTAAATAATAGAGGAGAAAATGCTTATTCCAATAAGGAA